ATAACAACATGGTTTAGTCATCGCTAGGATTTTGGATGACCCAACAATTTTGGCGACGACTCATTCGCTCGGTCGTCCATAGGGTACTTTATTCGCTCAACATCTGGGCGTTCTGCAAGCTTGGGCGACGGCGTTTCTTTGTTTATGGGCTTTCATCTTGGATTCTCAACTGGGTTTCGCTCTTTGGGCCATTTAATTTGAGCTGCACTTTTAGTGTGTTAACAGTTTGAAAATTTTTACCATAAGGTAGAATCTTGGTGCAAGATTTTCATTTTTTTCTCGCATTTCTTTTAAACTTGGCAATGTATTTCGATATATATTTGTGTTTTTCTTCGTCTGTGATGTGTAAACTAAACCATTAATTGGGAAGAATGAATTAACCTTGTTTTAAAACTTTAATTTCAATTCTTAAAATTAGTTGAGTTAATTGTTTTAGGTATTTTTATTTTTCTTTTTTTTTAAATGTTTGAATTGCTTGATCATTAATCCTTGATTTATGGATTATAACAAAATGAGAGGTGAGTTTATACGTTTACACAGCGTAGTAAAATCAGGCAACTAGATAAAAAGGTAGAGATATGCTTTGATTATTGCTGTAGTCTTTCATTGAATTTCTTAGGTGATTCAATTCGTTTAATTGGGATTTATTCTTATTCACATATATATATAGTTCTTTAACTTAGTCAAATATAATTGATTTGAATTCGAGAGAAGTAAATTTAATTAATTAGTGAATTTCATCAAACAAAAATTTAGGAATTGAATTTGAGAGACAAGATTAAATGAGATAATAACAGTGAAATTGTGAGTCACAACAATTTAACCACCATACTCAATTGTTTTAATTGCTTTTATTTTCATTGGTTAATATTAGTTTAATGGAAATTGCGTCAACAACATTTGCTTCATTCAAATATGAGTCACGAATTAGTCATTAAATAGATAGTCCTCAAGAGAACGTTAATTCGAACTCTTAAGATTTACTTTACCTCTTATTTAACTGACATCATACACTTGACTCAAATTAAGATACACCAATTCAATTAAGAAAAAAGAATGTGGCTTCAATGCTAATGTAAATTGCTTTTAAAAATTATTTCACAAGAGGGAATGGACAATATTAGAAAATTTGGGAGAAAAGAGAGAAAACTAGAAAATAAGGGTGCGAGCTTTTATGCATTGTACGTTTGGGCCAGGCTATCTTGATTTTAGAAGCCTACTTGCTCTTGAGCCCATAATTTGAAGGGTATCTTTTGGGGTTAGCTCAAGTAGGTATGCCAATTTGTACCATCAATAATTATTTATTTATTTTCTAATTTCAATATGCTTCCACGCCCAAGTATAACTTAATTTTTCACTAAAGTCCGACATGTAGATAGAGACTCAAATCCAAGTCTTTTAACCATCTCGTCTAGAGTTTAAGTCCCTATTAAATTTAGCTAAAAATTAGGTTTTTAATAGATATTGATGAAACGTGTTACGCCTCGCCACCAAGGCTCCAATCAAAGTGTTACGGCGCAGTCCACATGGAAAGAAAAGCCAACAAAGACTCAATCGGTTAAATGCACAGAAGTCAAACAAATGCTGAAACTCCTGTGCTGAAGCACCCCCTCAATGGCTGAAGCTCTTAAGTTCTTCGAAACACTGCCTAAATGACTAAAACTCTTAATCTGAAGCGTTATGTAAGAAATCAAAGAAGAAGCCCAAGCTCTTCATACTAAAGACCACCAATATGAAGCTCCCTTCGGCAGAAGCCCTCTATTCATCCGAAATCCCTGAAGTTGAAGTTGTCTGCTACAAAATTTGTAGGTAATTTTTAGAAATGATTGATGTAGCGTTTGTAATAAAGAATGTCAGGTGTGTCGCCTAATGTATATGGTGGTTGACTCGTGGTCAATGTATTTAATGTATGATAGATTTAGTGATGCGAGACTTCAGTGAAGTAGATGATGCCACTTGGTTATAATTAAACGATTACCACGTCGGCCAGAACTCTATAAATATGTACTTTTTATAAATTGTAAATGATGGTCTTTTGAATATTGATTCTAATATACAGAATACACTCAAGAAAAATAATCCCAATATACCATCTTACTTATTCTACATTTGTTAGTTTGATCTTAGATTATGACACTTTGTCGATGATTGTTTGTTAGTGAAATCTTAATCACTATCGTCGATGCTCAAAATTTATTGTCTGAAGCCTAAAGCATCTCCTGCGTTCACACGCTCCCCTTCTCAGTCCGTTCTCCAGTTAAAACGCACTGGAACTTGCTTGAGTTGGAGTGAGCAGGCCAAGCACCTCAAGAACCAAGCATTACCTTCTAAAAAATAGGAGGTACAGAAGCTCAGGAGACGAGCCGCTCACTTTGTTTTCCAAGATGATGACTCTGATACATAGAAGGAGAACAAACCACCTATGTGCTTTGAGAAATTCATGAAGGGATATGTGGTTTCCACTTGGGAGGATGGTCCTAAGCATAAAAGGTGTTAAGACAAGGATATTACTAGCCCACATTGAAAAAGGATACACAACAGTTTGCAAAGAGATGCAATAAGTGTCAATGTTTCACAACAATTCAAAGGCAGACTTCTCAGGAACTAAGCGTTGTTTATAGCCCCTGGCCGTTTGCCAAATGGGGGATTGATCTTATATGTCCCTTACCTAAAGGGAGGGGCAATTTTAGCTTCACATTGTCACAATTGATTACTTTACCAAATGGGTAGAAGTCGAACCCCTTTACAAGATCACTTCTTATGAAAAACTTCATTCGTAGGTTCGGAATTTCCCATTCGATTTTCTCGGATAAAGGGCAACAATTCAAAAACAAGAAGGTCAGAAACTTATGTAAGGAGCGGGCATCAGGAAACATTTCTCCTCTCCACATCACCATCAGGCTAATGGGAAGGTGGAATCTGTTAATAAGACTATCAAATACACGCTGAAAAAGAAAGTTAGACACTTCTAAAGGGGCTTAGGTCGACGAATTTCCTCAAGTCTTATAGGCCATTCGAACTACAATCAGAACAACTACAGGAAGAACTCATTTCTCTATGGCTTATGGAGCCGAGGCTATGAGCCCAGTTGAAGTGGGTCTGGAGTCTTCTTGCCGCATTCATTTTAATGAAATATCTAACAATGAGTTAACAAGGTACGAACTAGACCTCCTAGAAGAAAGGAAGGATGATTCTCAAGCAAAATTGGCTATCTACCAACAAAGGATGACTAGATACTACAATTCTAAAGTTAAGAAGAAGTCATTTTGCTTGAATGAACTGGTGCTTCGGAGGGTATTCTTATCTTTTAAAGAGTACGGGACAAGAACCTTTGGTCCTAATTGGGAAGATCCCTACCACATCAAAGAAGAGGTTCGGCCTAGAATTTATAAATCGAAAATATGGATGGAAAGGCACAGCCTCATCCATGGAACGCGGAGCATCTATGAAAATACTACATTAAGAATGTAAATATACAGTCTTGATTCATTGAAATTGATTTTTATTAAAGTGTTTGAAAAGTAAAAATACCTCCTAGCGACAAAAGTCCAGGGAAAAGACTCTGCATGAATGAACCGTCCCCATGCAGGGAAGCGTGGGTACTTTGACGAAGATTTGGTTTTCAAAAGGGACCACATCCTTACTCGCGAAGTGGACAACGCATGTCCTTAATGACAAAAGTTGTTAAAGAATCCCCAGCATGGGCGAACCACTCAACCTCATGCTCAGGAAAATTATTAATTCTATTAAGTTAAATTTTCTCTTAATTTTATTAAGACA